ACATTTTAAATGAAACTATATATTCCAAATAGTTTGCTTATCTGTCTTTTCCCACCAACACTATATCATTCTCACTTTCTTTAAATGTTTCATTACAAATTCTCTGTAAACATTTAAATGGCTAGATAATATCTTTAATTCTATACTTTTAGAACTATATCCTTTGGTATTTAGGCTATTTAAATTACTGGCCCAATTTCAAGTTACTAATTTTATATGTGTATTTAAATGTGTATTTTTAAACAGCTATTAATCTTTCCATTTTTTTCCTAAATAGTTTTAATAGCTTATGATGTTGATAAGCTATTGTGTGTTAGTCGCTCAGTCATATCTGACTCTTTGCGACCCCATGGACTGTAGCCCGCCAGGCTCCTCTGTCCATGAAATTCTCCAGGCAAGTATACTGGAGTGGTTGCCAGTTAAGTCACATCTAATTTCTTAACCACATCTAATTTCTTTTACTTTAATGCCCTTTCTGTTGCCCTATGGGAAAAGGGCTTGATGACCAATACCCCTGATAAGTTACAAACATAGAAAACATGCAGTATTTACAATCTTCATTTTTAAACCCAAACTCTCTTTCCTTGACTGAATAATGTAGTTGAGAACTTAGAGTGTTGCAGTGGTGGGTGTTGGGGCATGGGGCCTGGAATGGAAAAACTAAGGCAACAGGACTTTCTATGAAAAATAGATGGTTGTATTAGAAAGCTATTATCCAATATGAAATCATTGGTTCAAATTGGAACTGAATGTATATGTGCTTCAAGAGGAAAAACAGAATGTATTCCAGGCAGGAGAAATACTGATTGAGACGCGGCACAGTTCTAGCATATATTGAAGAAGGCACATGTTCACACTTGCAACAGGAGGAAACAAAGTCAGCCAGAGAATCCTGGAAAACAGAAATGGCACACAAAAAGCATGATCTGACTGTCGAGCCAGATAAAGTGACACTGCCTGGAGGAATTTGTGTTTTGTGGGAAGTAAGAGTTCATTTGAATATTCTCCTTTGAAGGGAAGGGGTATGTGAGCAATGGAAGTGCTGAAAGGGAAATAGCATGCTGGCTGGCTCTGAAGGGAAGAAATATTTATCTAGTCATAGTAATGTAAATTTGGTTTATTGATTTTCAGTTTTTTTAGAGTCAGTGTACAGATAAGACAGGGGTGATTTAATTTTAGTCGTAGAACAAGGACTGAATATTATCAGTCTTGACAGTATGAATGTAAAATTGCAGTGGACAGATATCAGAGATGGAAGGCAGGCAGAGATGCAGTATCTCTTCAAACTTTGTCTTGCAAAGGCATGGAGACCTGAGTTCCATCCCAGGGTTGGGAAGATCCCCTGGAGAAGGGAAAGGCTACCCACTCCAGTATTCTGGCCTGGAGAATTCCATGGACTGTACAGTTCATGGGATTGCAAAGAGTCGGACATGACTCTCGGACATTCACTTCCCACAAACAACCATCCAGGAGTAGCAGCAGCAGTTTACATTTTCCTAATACTCCCAGAACCAGATGCAGGCTGCCCGCTCAAAGATGCCAGCCCCAGCCAGCTAGCAACCCTTTCTCAGAGGCCTGAATACCAGTACCAATGCCGCCCCCTCTTCTGTTTCTCTCACCAGCCCTTCTGCTAGGAGCTGCTCCCTGTAGTTAGTTCCTCCTTTCCTCTTCAGGTCTCCAAAACCTGATTAGTAACAATGTATTGTATTAAACTCTTACAGTTAAAGTAACTAGAGTGGTTTCTGTTTCTTGCCCTGGATGATCCAGGAAATAGGTAGATTAATGACATCCTCATTTATTATTGCAGCAAGTTAATAGATCATGTGTGACTGACGTTGATAAATCAAAACCTAGTAGTGTAAGCACATTATTTATAGAGATATGGAGGTAACCATAAGAACTGCAGACATGTGTTTTAAGTTGTTGCCTCTGGGGAGAGGGTTGGGTGTATGGGTGGGCAGGTGAAAGAACATATTTTTAGCATACACACACTTCTCTGATTAAAAATATGTTTTAATTTCCTCTCATCTATATTTATATCTAATATAAATATATTTAATTATATTTATATTAAATATAACTTAATAAAGATACAATATTATATTTAATAATGTATAATAAAATATATTAATTAATATATCTCATATATATTTACTATGGAATCTTATTCTTAAGGAATGAAGCAAAGCAAAATTTCCTAAAACTATGAAGTTAAAAAATAGTGGACTTGAAAATCGAGATTTATTTAATATATTTTGGTAAGAGATGAAAGAAAATCCTCAAATTCAAGTCTTCAAATAGCTCTAACCAGTATTAATAAATAATCATAAATTGAATAAATTATCAATTTTTTGAATTGAATAACAGTAATTGAATAAATCATAATTATAAATTAAGATCATAATTGAATAAGTTAAACTATCACTCTGAAAAACAGTATGAAATAAAGTTTTTAAAACATTTATTTATACAAAACAAAAAAAACAGTCAACCTGTTTATCCCGGGCCCACAACCTCCTGCTTCTGGCAATCCCTGGTCTGTTCTCTGTATTTATGAGCTTGATATATCATCGTTATCTGATTTGTTTCATTTAGCACAATACCCTCGAGGTCCATTCATGTTGTTGCAAATTGCAAGATTTCATTTTGTAATGGCTGAATAATGTTCAAATGTATAAATGTATGTTCTACAGTTTCTATTCACCAGCTGATGGAAACTTAGATGGCTTCTCTCCTTTTGCTATTATAAATAATACTAAAATGAACATGGGTGTGCATGTGTCTTCTGAGGTTCATGTTCTTATTTTCTTCAGATAAATACCCGGAAGTGAACTTGCTGGATCATAGGGTAGTTTTGTTTATTTATTTGAGGAGTCTCCATACTACTCTCCATAATGGCTATGGTGGTGATTCAGTCGCTTTGTCATGTCTGATTCTTGCTACCCCATGGACTATAGCCCACCAAGCTCCTCTGTCCATGGGATTTCCCAGGCAAGAATATTGGAGTGGGTTACCATTTCCTTTTCCAGGGGATCTTCCCAACCCAGGGATCAAATCTGTGTCTCCTGAATTGCAGGCAGATTCTTTACTGCTGAGCCACCAGGGAAACCTATAATGGCTTTACTCATATATATAATATATATATATCATATTTATAACATCAATATATAATATTATATAATACATAATATACTCATATATATATATCATATATATAGTATCAATATAAATGGCTATACTCATTTATACTCCCACCAACAGTGCATAAAGTTTGCCTTTTCTCCACATGCTGCCAACACTGGTTATTTTTTTTATAACAGCCATTCTAACAGGTCTGAGGTGATATTTCATTGAGGTTTTGATTTGTATTTCCCTGATGATTAAGCTGTGGGCCTGACATATATGACCTTTATTGTGTTGAGGTATGGGCGCCCAGGTGGCACCAGTGGTAAAGAACCTACCTGCCAAAGCAGGAGATGTAAGAGACGCAGGACATGTATGATCTTTTTCATGTATTATTGAATTCTGTTTGCTAAAATTTTGTTGAGAATTTTTGCATTGATGTCAATCAGAAATAATAGCCCCTAAGTTTCTTTTCTTGTGGCATTCTTGTCTAATTTTGGTATTCAGGGTATTACTGGCCTTGTATAATGAATTGGAAGAGTTCTCTTCTCTGCTATTTTTTGGATGAGTTTGAGAAGGACTGCTATTACTTCTTCTTTGAACGTGTGATAGAATTTACCAGTGGAGTCATCTTGTCCTTTTGTTTACTGGGAGCTTTTTGACCACTGATTCAATCTCCTTAGTAATTGATCTGTTCAGATATTCTATTTTATTATGGTTCAGTCTTTGTAGGTTTGTGTTCCTAGAAATTTATCCATTTCTTCTAGGTTGTCCAATTTGTTAGCATATAATTGTTCATAGTAGTTTCTTATGATCCTCTGTATTTCAACAGTGTCAGTACTGGCTTCTCTTTCCGTTCTGATTTATGTTTTTGAGTCCTCTCTTTCTTTCTTGGTGAGTCTGGCTGAAGGCTGGTCAATTTTACCTTTTCAAAGAACCAGCTTTTAGTTTTTGTGTTCATCTATAAATGAAAGTGTAAGGTCATAGTGAAAAATGAATTAGAGTCAATGAATGAAAGAAATGATCAAGACCTAGTTTTCCCCAAACCTCTCATTTTAAAGATGAGTAAAGTGAGCTCCAGAAAGAAGAAACAGTTAAAACTGAATGAAACTTTGCTCTCATTTATACTCTGAAGGGATTCCTAAGTGGTGCTAGTGATAAATAATCCATCTGCCAATGCAGATAAGAGCCACAGATTTGATTCCTGGGTGGGGAAGATCCCCTGGAGGAGGGCATGGCATCCCACTCCAGTATTCCTGCCTGGAGAATCCCTTGGACAGAGAAGCCTGACGGGCTACAGTCTGTATGCTCTCAAACAATCAGACACAACTGAAGCAACTTAGCACATAGGCATACACTCTGAAACCTTTTTCAGACTCCTGCTGTGTGCCAGGCATGGCACTAGGCTCTGGAGACACAAAGATACCTTTCATCAAGAGTTATAAGTCTTATAAGAAAAAGAAGGCCCTCAGGGAAGACACAGCATCCAATCTTATGTCTCTGGCCCATTTTAACGAGGACTATCCTGTGTGATGGTTCATTTAATCTTCATAACCAGGCTGTAAGGTAAGTGGAATTATCTCCATTTTACAGAGAAGGAAACTGAGACTAAAAAAGGTAACATAATTATCCAAAGTCAAGGGTGTATCATGTCAGATCTCCTGCACTCTCATCTGCGGTGCTGAAGTCCATATGGTCATGGCCGTGAGATGGAGAAGGGGTGGGAGGGGAAGCGGAAGGGAGAGCATTTTTTTGAAAAGACTCTCCCTGAGTCACACTTGTTTAAAGACTAATTTCAATAAACCCTCTTAGTGTGAAACACAGCCGTTCTCTGGGCCTGGTTCCTATAATACTAACACTCTATCTTTTAGCTGCAGGGGAAGAAGTTTGCTATGAAAGGGTGGGATGCTTTAAAGATGGTCTGCCATGGACTGGGACCTTCTCAAGACAGTTTGCAGGGCTACCCTGGTCTCCAGAAAAGATAAACACTCGCTTTCTGCTCTACACTAGACAGAATCCCAAAGTCCATCAGGTAAGTTAACTCGCTGCCTTCACACACATATTATTCTAAAATAGAAGATGTTACTCCAAGTACAGAAGCCATAGATAACCTATTCTGGTAGAAACTCTTGAGTTAAAGGGAAACAATTCTTTTTAGTGTTGTGAGCCAGATATTTCTCTCATTATTTGCCCTGTTATTTAAAAACAAAGATTGCTCTGAATATGTGTTTCATATGGGATAAATTTGATATTTTGTTCAGTTAATATATTAATTGAGAACCTTCCACATTGTAAGACTGAAGAAGCAACAATACCTATTATGTACTAAATTGAATAAACAAGACAGTGTCTTAAATTTACTAGGAGAAATGAGATATGTAACCAAATAGCTTTGTTGCAGCAAGATTTTGGTCTGTGATGTAAGATAACAGATCAAAGACTTTGGGGACAGAGAGAGGAAGGGATTACCTTCCCCTTGGGAGTGGGGATGGGAACCAGGAAAGACTTTTACGAGGGTTTGAGGTGTGTCCTGAAGGAAGGGCAGGGTTTTCAAATGCAAACACAGGGAAATGGTGTGAATGTGCACACACACACAGAGGAGAGAGACAAGAGGGAGTGTTTGATAAACGACCCACTGTTGGGTTAGACAAGGCAGAGAGGAAGTCTTCAAATGTGGAGTGAGTGAGAAACACAGTTTTAGAAACAATTTGTATAATTCCTTCCTGGTGAGATGGGCTATTACCTGGGAGCCATGAGGACCCACTGTGAGTTTTTAGGAAGCTTTAGGACCTTTATTCTAGTTGCAGTGTACTTTCTGGCTTGGAGCTGGGAGAGCAGGGGTTGGGGGGTGGGGAGAAGGAGGCACTGCCAGCCAGTTTAGTCCTGTGCTGTCTAGTCACTAGCCACATGTGGCTCTTGAAATAAAGCTAAAAATTCAGTTCTTCAGCTACGCCAACCACATTTCAAGTGCTCAAGAGCCACACATGACCAGTGGCTACTGTGTTGAATGGCACAAATATAGGACATTTCCATCATCACAGAGAGTTCTATTTGACAGCACTGAATAAAGCTCTAGTGCGATTTGGATCAGACACAGGAACTAACCAGAGCCAGAGTAATGAGAGTGAGTACTTTAACAAAAAACTGACATGTTAAACATCATCAGCTGTCCTGAGATTTCACACATGCATGATAGGAATAAAAATGACCCTCTTGCCTGAAAAATTTAGGGCAAAAGAAAAAGTTCAATTTTTGACAAGTGAAGTTGGTTTAGACTATCGGAGATGTTAGTCGTACAACTTGGCAGGCGGTCTGGAGCTGCAGAAATACATTCAAAATCTTTTACGCAGAGGTGAGAGTTGAAACTCAGAGTGCATGAGATCTCAGGGGAGAGAACAAGGCATGATATGAGACCCAGGTGGAGCATCTATATTTAGGGGGCAGGTGGGCAAGGAGCCAGGGAAGGAGCAAAAATCATCTCCAGTCTTTACCTGCATCTATAAGCTTGAGGCTTGCTTTCCACCAGACCCGTCACATGCAGGGCAGATCTCACCAGCCAAGACAGCCTTCTTCTAGGCCTTCACACCCTGCAAACATAGCTATCTACTTACCAGACTCAGACATACATATGTACACATTACTCTTTACTGAAATATACCATCTGCTCTATAGATTACGGCTCTAGTGAGAACAAAGAAGAAAAGACAAGACTTTAATTTGAGTACAGAGAAACTTATAACGAAAATGTCTTCAAAAGTTTGATTTCTATAACTGTCAAAAAGGAAAGAGAAAATTATTACCCAGCTGTAGAAAGGAAATGAAATTCTAATAGATGGTACAATAGCTTGCAAGCGTTTTGCTAAATTGAATATGCCAGACACAAAAGGACAAATATATGATTCCAGTTATATAACATACCAAGAATAGTCAAATTCACAGAGACAGAAAGTAGAATATCAATAGTTACTAGGGGTTGGGGGAGGGGGCGATGGGAGTTACTGTTTAATGGGTACAGAGTTTCAGTCTGAGATGATGAAAAAGTTCTGGGATGGTGGTATTGCTTGCACAACAATGTGAATGACAGTGCAAGTGAATTTTACTCTTAATGATGGATGAAACAGTAATTTTATGTTATGTGTATATTACCACATTTTAAAAAAATGTAATGCAAATGTTTGGGGGCACCTCTATCCATTTGGGACTTTCAGGGTGAATTTTTCTGCTCAGGACTAACTGTATCCCCTGATGTTGGCCCTCAGCCCTCATAGGACTTGCTGATCAGTTATCCTTCTGGACAGAGACATGCACTAGAACTTTGTAGAGCACAGGCAGTAAGACAGAAGGTGATGAAGACCAGTCTTCAGGCAAGGCTGAGCCCAATGGGCAGTGAAGAGAATATCAGAAACCGAATACTTTCCTAAGAAAAGGGCCATAAAAACAGTGCTTTCCACATCTTTCCCACTCCCTTCCATTTGGAAAGAATCATGTGTGAGAACACAGATCTGTACCCGAATTTTGCAATAGATAGACACCTGAGGGTTTGTTGTTAATGTGGTTTTTCATAACAGCTAGGTTGTACACTGAGTCATGGTGTGATGCTAAAAGCAAGGATCATCACAGATTTGACTCATATGCTATACTGTATAAATTTGATTACCTTTGTTTATGAGAAAGAAGTAAATCATGCAGTGGCTTAGCAATTGAGACTTAGCAATTGGGGAATTACCAAATAAGGAACTAGTAATCAAGGCTTAGCAATTGGTGAATTGTCAAGGATCAATTTGTTGATGTAAATGGTCTTCTGAGGCGTAGGTCTCAGCTACCTTCCTGGAAGAATAAAACCAACATTTTTTCCCATCAATCTGTGACTTCTTTTTTTTCTTTCTTTCTTTCTTTTTTTATTTTTTAAATCATGAGAGTATAGTATCCGTGACTTCTTAACCTTAAGTGACTCATTGCCATTGCTAGTCGTAATGCATAGTTGTGTAATTACAGTGGTTCCTGTGCCTGCAGCTTTTGTCAAGGCTAGAACATGCCTAACTGGTGACTGTTTTTTCCTCACTTATAGGATGGGTTGATTCTATGTCAGTTAGGCTCCATGACCACTCAAAAATAAGAATGTTAAGAGAAAACACCCCAGCACCCAGCTAGACATCAATACTCTACTCTCATCTCTAGATAACCTGTTCTGTCCTGACACCCTTTTCAGTTTCTGTCCTTGTGGGATCCAAGTTGTCTGCTTTTGATTCCATGATGTTGTTTGGGAGTTTCCCAGTTCCTAAGTTAGTGTGTCATTTCAGAGTGGTGTGCTAGACTGAATGCACAGTGAACAAAGTTGTTTTGTTGCCTTTTCCTACGTTGATAAATCCTTAGTGGCTTTTGTGACAACAAAGAATGCTTGGATACCATAATACTTGTCAGATTGCCATTCTGAGGCTTGTTCGAGGTCCACTTCTTGAAACTATTCTCATGACAGTGGAAAACTATACGTACTTTTTCTACTAAATGATGTTTCCTAAATAGGTTTTTTTTTGTGTGTAGAAACAGTAATACAGTAGGTGTTTAAGGGGCTCCAGCCAGAGTTGGAATGGGCATTGAGTTCTTTTAAATACATAGATATACAAACATCTTTGCACTTGGATTTGATTATTTAACAGAGAGGTGCTTGCTGAAAAGCCCCAATACAATAGATTTTATTATCTACATCACAAATTCTTCAGCTGGTATGCATCCCATCAGGAGAAAGCACTATGATCAGACCACAACTTGAAAGCCCAGTGGTGAAGTGCACGGCTTTAGAGAGAGACCATGTGGGTTTGAATCCTTCTCCAGGATTCATCAGCTGCAGTACTTTTGGACAAGTGACTTCCTTTCTCATTACACCCCTTCCTAACCTGTAAAGTTCGTACCTATGTCACAGCATTGAGAAGGCCAAATGAGCTACTCTACAGAATACCCACAGGGCTTCCCTGGTGGCTCAGAGGGTAAAAAATCTGCCTGCAGTGCAAGAGACCTGGGTTCGATTCCTGGGTCAGGAAGATCCCCTGAAGAAGGGAATGGCTCTCCACTCCAGTATTCTTGCCTGGAGGATCCCATGGACAGAGGAGCCTGGTGAGCTTCAGTCCATGGGGTTGCATAGAGTTGGAAACGACTGAGTAACTAACACTTTCACTCTTTCACAGAGTACCTATAATCTAGATAGATACGAGTTTTATCTGTATTATAATTATTGCCATTTGTAAGCCAGCTTGGGATTCTCTTAATTGTTTGTTCACAGTCTTGGAGAGACTTTAGTAGGTCGTATGATTAATCGTATATACCGTTAAACACAGGTAGCTAGTAATCAGCCATTCATTTCAGTTTCATGAGTATCTAAATTTGCTGCTTTTTAGTTTAAGATTACCATTGTCAAACTTGCTATTTGCTGATTTGACCTTTTATTTTTTCTCTACTTAATTGCTTATACTTTTGACTTATAATTTTTCTCTTAATAACAAAATCACTTAAATTAATAGTATTCTAAAGCCTTCAAGAGTTTTGTCATAAAAACCATCTAACAAAGTACAAGAAATACAAAACAATATTTAACACCATCACATAAAATATCTTAAATATGCTGTTGTATTTCATGTGATAAGGATCTAACCTCTACTCCTTGTTCATAAAGTGTGGTGGACAATCTTATCTTGTCACCTTTGGAATATGCATCTAAGCCTTGGATAAGGTAATTCTCACGAGTTATGCTGACAACTGAAAAATTCTGTACAAAAGTAAGGCTTACTGAAATTCTAACAAGCATTACCTTGAAACCAAACATTTTGATTTCTTTTCCATATGATAAAATTTGTATGTTGCATTTTGTAATGCATTAATAATTCCTTGGTACTTTTGCAATATGTAGCAGTAACTATTTCTTTGATAAAAATGTATTAAAGATGGTTGTTAAAGTCAAACTTAGAGGAAAACTTTTTAGCAAATTTAGAATATTTCTACTAAGTGTTAAATAATTTTCAATTATTTTACCTTAATTTCTTTTCACCTGAAACAGGAAGTCAGTGCAGTTAATTATTTAACTATCCAAGCCTCACACTTCGCAACAGAGAAGATCACACGTATCAACATACCTGGATGGAAATCAGACGGCAAATGGCAGCAAGACATGTGCAATGTATGATGTGAATAATCTCTTCTTTATAGTGTATTAAAGCTTTATGTTTAATGTGAATGTAGTTTGCAAGGTACTAACGTGTATTCATGGAAATTCTCCATTCAGTTATCCACATTAACCATATTCCAAGACCCAAATGAATTACCCATTTCCCATTTATTTTCACTGGTTATGAATTGCACAGATTATGATAGAAGACTTTTATAATTATTCTTAGTAAATTCTCATCTTTGACAAAAGATTGAATGGTATGACCAATTTCTCATTTAATTTAAGGAAAACATTTCCAAGTTCACTGTAGGAAATTAATTTTCCTCTCTTCTACTCAAGATTAATAGACTGCTAACATAGTAAGCAATTAATTATTTACAAGCCATATAGTGCGGTAGAGTCAGGCTGTCTGGAATATTATGGTTCTATTGACTAGCTCTGTGGTCCTGGGCAAGTTAATTAACCTATATTTGCCTAGGTTTGCTTATCTTTAAGTGAATATCAAATAAGTTAATATATGTACAAGTGTTAGGACAGGGCCAAGCACATGGTAGGTCCTCAATACTTGGAGATGTTATTTCTTGTTGTAGAATCAGTTGTTTGGGCACTCTGGTTTCCTTTAATTCTTATTTTTAATACTTACAATAAATCTTTTTAGGTACTGCTAAAAGTAGAAGATGTGAACTGCATTAATTTAGACTGGATTAACGGTTCACTGCAATATATCCACGCTGTAAACAATCTCCGCGTTGTTGGTGCTGAGGTGGCTTATTTTATTGATGTTCTTGTGGTAAGAACAGTTGATTTCTTTTACATTACATTGAGCCAGCTTTGTATCATAACACCAAGAATTTGGGGGCAATTCTATATATTTTTTTTATTAGTTTACACAAGGACCGAACATGTGAAATAATCAGCGTTGGTGTATGGTAGCCAAAAAGGGAACGTTAGGTTCCTTCTGGTGAAAGAAGTGCGTGTAGTTCTAGAAATCGCCACTTGGTGGCAGTGTGTCTTCACCGGCTCCTCACCAAACCCATCCCCGCCCCTCAGGGTCGCCGCCTTCCTCGGTCGGCCTGGCGGACCATCTCGGTTCCTTTTAGCACAAGGTAAACCTATGCTTAACGATCGAGAAGAAATTGTTCCTGCGTTATGGGCGCTATCTGTGCAGAATGTGAAGTGCGTTTTCCCCACAGAAACTGGGTTCTGTGGCAGTGAAATAGGTCCCTCGGCCAGTCCAGGCACAACTCTTGAACCTACACATTTTCAAAGAGAATAAAATAGGCTTTGCTATGTATGAGGGCTATACTCTGAGACATTTATAAATCTCCAAATGCTCCACCATAATAGAAAATAGTTTCCCAGCATGCAATGCGGTGAAGTAAAAAAAAATCTAAAGGTTTATGACCCTTTCAGATTCTTAAGATTTCACTCCTTACAGTCAACAAATATTTCACTCCGCACTTGCTGTGGGCCGGGCTCCGTTGTAGGCACTGGAGGGACACGGTGAGCGAGACAGCGTTTCTGCCCTGACGGAGTGTGGGGACAGGACTGTGGGAAAATACAAGGCAACGGGAAGGGGACTGGCAGGCTCTGCAGCTCACTTTGAGGGTCGGTCAGGAGAGCGGGCCCAACACTGAGCCCAGTCAGGACTCAGGCCGGAGCAGTCAGGGAGCCGGATACTCACGGCTGCCCTCCCTCTTCATCCACTCTTCCCGCTCCTGAGGGGAGGCTAGACTGCAAGGAGGAACTTGGAGTGTGTCTTTGTCCACAAAGGATGGAAACGGATTCACCTCCTCTTCAGAGAAAATCCAGGTCCAACTAAGCTTTCGTGAATCTCTTCCTTGATCTTGGGTCCTCAACTATGGGCTCGTAAAGGCGCATAAAAAAAGCCGGAGGAGATTTTGCTGAACTGAAGGGGAACGTGTTGGCTGACTCAAATGTTCAGTGAATCGTTTGGCCCCCCTGGGCGTGAGCTGCCTTTAGCCCGTGTGGGGGTGTGCAGGATGGTTTGGGCCTCAGGAAGGATGAACATGGACTGGAAGCTACAGAAGGGTCACTGGGCTGGTTTCCTTCCTGTTCCCAAGAACTGCGAGGCCCTTTAGCACAGGGAGAAAGCGCCGACAGAAGGTATTCCTCTGGCCCACCTGATGCTCTCTCCCTCAGCTAGATAAGGATGTATGTGGACATAGGGTTGCTTTGTCATCTTACCAGTCTTCCCATCCTGGGGGGGGAGAGGGAGAAACATGTCAGCTCCTTTTTCATTTTAAGCCAGATTCAGCCATTCCACCTGCTTTAAAAAAAAATAATAATGCTTGTTCTGTTTTCCTTTTAAAATATCCTCTCAGAAAAAGTTTGGATATTCCGCTTCTAAAGTACACTTGATTGGCCACAGCTTGGGAGCTCATCTGGCTGGGGAAGCTGGGTCAAGGACGCCAGGCCTGGGAAGGATAACTGGTAAGCCTGCCCTGCAGATGGTCCTTGGGTTTGTTTATGTATTTGTTTGTGTACAAAGTATCAAATATCTGAACACCAAGGAGGTCACAGAAGCAAATGGAAGACAAGAGAAAATGTGACCTTCCCTAAACTAAAACATGAAATGCTTCCAAAGGGTGAGTGTGTGAATCCATTTTCAAGAGTGTTCACCGTAGCATTATCTGTGGTGACAGAGGAATGGGACCTGTGATCATCCACCTGTCAGGGCTGGTCGACTGAAGGATGACACATTCCATGCTTTGCGATTCCATAATGGCTTCTACACAGACTGAGACAGAAACTCCACGGTGGTCCTACTCACCCAGTGTAGCTGGAATGCTGGACTGTTCTGTTTAAGGCCCATGCTGTTCTAGTTGCTAAACTTTTGAATGTTGTCTCCTGCATCTGCGTTGTGCCTCTTTGTGGCCCAGTCACTGTCCCAGCTCAGGCCCTCTCCATCTCCTGAGTTTTTGCCATTCATGGCTGGTGCCCTGCCTGGTTCTGCCTGCCAATGAAACATATGCGATGTGGGTTCGATTCCTGGTTCAGGAGGATCCCCTGGAAAAGGAAATGGCAACCCACTCCAGTGTTCTTGCTGGGAGAATCCCATAGACAGAGGAGCCTGGTGGATTACAGTCCATGGGGTTGCAAAGAGTTGGACACCCCTCAGAAGGGGCTGGTACTCCAGTCTCACACAGGTATGGCCAGAGTCATTATCTTTCTAAACACAGGCTGTGCCACTCCACTGCTTGAAACTTTTCATTGTCTAAAGCATCTGAACTTGTTGTATGAATGTTTCATGTTTCTTCACATATTTTCATGATTCTGTGCCTTTCCAAGTCCTGTTCCCCCTCACCCTAAACACCTGCTGGTCATCCTTTGAGAATTTTCTCAGATATTTCTTCCTCAGACAAAGTTAATTTTCTGCTTCCCACACTCTCTGAAATATGCCTTTATTATATATGAAGATACAAATGTTGTATCACAAAGTCTAATTAATTATTCATGTGCCTGTTATTTTCAGTAGACTCTGAACTACTTAGAAAGACTTCCTTACTGCACTCACATCCCAGTCCTGGCACATAGTAGGAACACACTTTGTGTTCATTGAAACAATACACTGCAGCTCTGGTGTACACACACACACACACACACACACACACACGTGCTTTAATTTCAGATTTAAATTTAAAATATTTTTTCCACATTCTATATTGGGTTTAAAGTATTAATATATTGCCTCTGCAGTCTCATGGTATAACAGGCTTTTCCTGCTGAAAGTTTCCTCTTTTTCCTGGATCTCTGATTCCAACTCCAGCCCTAGCCCACCACTACCATTTCTACATAGAATATTAAAATTTGTATATTTACCCTGAAGTTGTTGTTCTTTATTCAGTCACTAAGTTGTGTCCAACTGTTTGCAAACCCATGGACTGCAACACACCACTCTTCCCTGTCCTTCACCATCTCCCAGAGTTTGCTCAGACTTACGTCCATTAAGTCGACCATCTCATCTTCTGCCACCCCTTCTCTTCCTCCTGCCCTCACAATAATAATCTTTCCCAGCATCAGGGTCTTTCCCAAGGAGTCAGCTCCAAAGTTATTGTGTAGCAAAAATCTTTGCCAGAGAATGGAAGAAATGGGCCCAAGGTAGGAATGGAATCTCATGGGGCCTAACAGCCTAGGGGAGTATTTCAGCTATAAATTAAAAGGAAGAACATTGCCATAAATGTGTCAAAAATTCACACTAGGTTGCAATAAATTTATGGAGATTTTGTTTTCCTGAATTCTTGTTTCACAACTCGGATAATTTTTAACTTCAGGGTTTCCTGCCAAGTGAATTATCCTATTGAATAGATAGACAATGATAGGTTTTTAAAGGCTCTCTAAACATCTGAAGGATCTACATAATTTGGATGTTGCAGTCTATATTCCTTCTAAGTGGTTAGTCTTTGAATAATCATGTTCCTTGGATAACAAAAGAACCGAGATCTCAAAAAAAAAAAAATGTTGGCTTTATAATAAAACCAGTTAAAAACAAAATATGGTAGATTTTAGGACATGCATAAGTTTCTGTGTCTCTGGTAATTCTCTATAACTGGTAGGCAGTTATCATAGATGACTACAGCATGGGGGTTCCTCAGTCAAGGTTTTGTTTTCCTTTTATCTGTAAATAGCAGCAGTGTTTTCCTATTGGAGAAGAGGTTGTTCTCTATGCTGATACACTCATGCATCCAAATACATACATCAAACTCAGCTTCCAAAGGGTGAAGCTCTCATTCATGCAATAGGGCTCACGCCTCCCCAACTCAGATCAATTAAGAGGTTGAACCTTTTAGTTCTCCCCTCTGTTGATCTTCCTCCTGAGATCTTTTAGAACCACAGATCCAAGATTCTCTCTTCCCTGCGTCTTGAAAACACTAGTTGTCTTTTTTAAAAAAACATATCTGGTTGCCTTGTCCTCACATCAACATCATCTGAGGTGTACCTGCTATATTTGAATACATCTCTACTGAGCTCCCGACATCATCAGAAGATTGTATCTAATTAGCAATTGTACATTAGCATAAACAATTCTCCCTAGAGTTGAAGATTAATTGTGAGACAAATACTTGGGCAGCTTTCTTTTAAGCTTGGATATTTTGCACAAATGCCTGTTGGTTTACTTCATTGGCCCTCTGTCTAATTTTATTTTTCACCTGTGCTCTGAGTCCCTTGCCAGCTTTGGGGACCTGACTGTCATTTGTCTGCTTTTCCTCCCATCTTGTCAAACTCTTTTCCCTAATTCTATTAGAACTGACATGTCAAAAAAAACCCAACAACTGACATGTCCTGATTCCTGCTTAGGCCACAGCCTCTTCTCACCAATACCCTAGCTTGCCTCACTCAGATTCCAACTCCTCTAAGAGGAAGTGGCCATGTTTCCTTGAGGGCTGTGCTCTCCTCAACCCACTGCAGTCTGGTTTCTTCCCCAGTCCTGCTCGCAAAACCACTATGACCACCAATGGCTTCTTAGTGGGACTCTTCCAGGCCTTTCCCATCTTTACTTTCCTTGGCCCCTCTGCAGAATTTGACTTGCTAACCCCTCCTTGCTGTTGGAACACCCTCTTTTGGCTCCTGTGGTTCCCTGTCTTGCATCTCCTTGGTTGTCTTTTTTCTTGTCTGACAGCTTCTTTCCAGGCTCCCTTGCAGGTTCCTTTTCTTTCGCCTTTCCTTACATGTTGGTGTTCTTCAAGGTTCTATCTAGGCCCCCTCTTCTCTCCTCTCCTTGCCTCCTCTCATTCTATCATTTCTTTCTCATGATTATATGATTCAGAAAAATAAAAACAAAAATGGAATCATTTAACAGTCTATCATGCCGAGGTATTGAACACCCCACAGCTGTGGCACATTCATCGCTCACTCCTGCTGAATTTTCCCAAGGGGTCAGATACAGCTCAGCTCTGAGCCCGCTCCACTCTGAGCCCTGGTCTCCACTTCACAGCAAAGAGGCTTTGCTAAAATACAAATCTGACTGTAAACCTCCCTTTTGGCAAACTTGTAAGAGCTGCCCATCGACAACCAGGTCATGTCCAAACTCCTTGTGGCTCAGCTGATTACATCTGGCTCCTGACTACAATGCTGTCTTCATCTCTCACCAAATTCTAAAATCCTATGCACTGGCCCTTGAAAGCTAGTTGCAGTTTCCCAAATGTGATTAACCCTCTCGCCTGATGGCCACGTATACTCTCTGTCCTCTTCCCAGGATGCTACCGACCTCATCTTCACCCTGGCTGACTCTTCTACTCCCTCAGATCTCTGCTTGCATTTCTCATCTCTAGCAGAAGCATGTCCCAGTTTCCCAAGCCTGGGTTGCCTGTTGCTTCTCTGTATTGCATAACACCTGCGCTTGCCTTTCTCAGCACTGAGCACATTGAATTGCGGTGCCTTCCCCTCCAAACAGAAAGCTCCTTGAGGACCTTATTCCTTGTATCCAGTTGCAAAACCCTGTTGCTGGCACATAATAAGTGCTTGATAAATAATCGTCAAATATGTAAATGAAGAGTTATGTGAATGATCATAACATTTTAGAGACCTTAGATATCTTAACCTTTGCTTTAGTAGACATTTGAATGGGAGACAATGGACTGAAGTCTGACCACCATTTTGCATCTAATATATGATGGTCCATTTTGCATCTAACATATGATGGCCTTGTCAAGTCCCTTCACTTCTTTGGGCTTCAGGCTTTTGTTTGTAATTCAATGAATGGAACTAAGTGAGCCTTAACTGAGGACTATGATTCTGTTGTTTTAACTGTGTTGCTTTGTGATTCATCTTTACATTTTAAAGAGTTCTTAGCTTTTATTTTTTATTTTTTTACATATAAATGTTGCTTTTAAGGTGGTCTGCAATCCGTAACCTTAGTTGTCTGTATGGTATTCCATGTACAGGCCCTAGAGTAGCTGCTTTGACTTTTCTGACTTTGTTAGCTGGTTTGGTATTGTCCAGACACAGCCTTGCTTGTGTGTAGGAATCTGACATTGCAGTATATACAGATCCTGCATTTATAAATATAAATACATCCTACAGTTTATGTATCTGTCCTTCAGGCTGAGTGGTGTTTGACCTACATAAATCATATAAGAAAGAATGCTTTGCCTTCACCATCTATCCTTCCAAAATAGCAACACTGTCAGTGTACTTTTATATGTCTTAGTTTAATACACATTATGCTTTTTCCTAGGGTTGGACCCAGCAGGGCCGTGTTTCCATGACACTCCAAATGAAGTCAGGCTGGATCCCTCAGACGCCAACTTCGTTGATGTTATCCATACAAATGCGGTGCGCCTCTTCTTTGAGCTTGGTAAGTTTTTAACACAAATCGAAAGTGCACCGAAAGATGGAGGAGAGTTTTAGAAGCATGTATCTTGCTTTTTTAAATTTCAGGTGCTGGAACTATTAATGCTTGTGGTCACCTTGACTTTTACCCAAATGGAGGGAAGCACATGCCAGGATGTGAAGATTTAATTACACCTTTATTTAAATTTGATCTCAATATTTACAAGGAAGGTAAATACTTTCTAAACTGAAGTTATAAACTCAATGAGCACCCTTCTTGGATAGAATATGCTTTTGAATATAATATAATGTAAAAATATATTTTAGTCCAAAACACAGTAGCATGTATGAAGTTCCTAGCAGTTGTGAGGTCTGCAAGGCCAGGGTCCATGTTTTAGTTAAGTCTGTAACCGCAGGGTCTAACAGAATGTCTCACCAGGAGGATGTAGTCATCCAATAGGTATGTATTGAGTGCTTACTATGTGCCAGGCATTATTCTAGGAATAGCAGATGTAGGAATGCATACAAAAGACAAAAATTAGTAGGAGCTAATACCTTACTTTGCTAGAAAAAGAGTAATAGAATAAGTGCTAAGGAGACAAAACAAAGCATGTAATGGGAATATGATGTGTTGGTGACAGTGCAGGTGACCTAGGGGAAGGAGATTTTTGATAGGGTGGACAGGAAGTCCTTACTGAAAAGATGACCTGAAGGAGTTAGCCATGCAGGTACCTGGGTGAAAGGCATTCCAGGCTGAGGGGTGGGAATGGCAAGTGCAAAGGGCCTGGGGCTGGAGCCTGTGAGTTTCATGGCAGCGAGGAGCCTATTGTGGCCAGAGTGAAATAAAAGAGAGGAGAGTAGCAGGGCATGAGGTTAGAGTAGGAACAGGGCAGGGGGAGATAATATAGGGTCTTATGGACTGTAGCAAAGACTTCGGCTTTTACTTAAGGGGGATGGGAGCCATGGGAGGATTTTCAGCAGAAGTACCTGGTTTGATTTGCTTTTTGACAGAATCACCCTGGATCACAAGTTAATTTAATCACAAATTAAACAAATACTATTTAGCCCTTTATAGCAGTTTCCAATAATAATAATAAGGCACTTTATAAGACTCCAGAAAGTCATTGTTTGGGAGTTCCATTCCTCCCTATCTCTATATCATTATCATGTAAATAATGATATGTATCATCCATAATATATGATAAAGCCCAGTAATATAATGTTTGATGACATGATAGTAAAATTTTGGATGATTTTAAATATCCCACTGCCTGATCCCATGTGGTCAGAATGTCTAGATGATGTAATTATTCTATTTTCCATCTGGCAGTTGTAGAGGAAAAAAACACAGATCACCGCATTGAGAGTAGCTTGAATTTCCTCTTCACTAGCACTAAGTTACAGTTTTACTATCTGTTTTGAAAGTAAATTGTAATTAGAAATATCCATTTGCAATGACTGCTTAAAACTGGTAAAACTATAGATACTCAAAATGAGAATTAAAGCCAGTTCTATCTAGTGCTGGTAAACAAAATTCTTTCAAAAAAGACCTATTATAAAACTTCTTTCTCATTATTTGTTTTATTATGATTTGAAATCATTTCTATTAGGATAAAACATAGATCATAAGACTCCTTTACATAACTATATTAATTGTTATATACTGAGTACTTGAAATTCTGTAAAATAATGAATTGAAATAAGCCTACATTTATCATAAGCTATCATTTTGAGATACTATAATTCCTACAACTTTATTAGATTAAAAGCATATTTATCATTCATATCTTTAGATGACTTTTCAGCTTCAAAATATTTTATTTTACATTATATTTATTACTAAGAAGTCATTTACTTTTAAAATTCATAGTTCCCTATGTCTTAAAGAGCCATCTTGTCTAAACCACAATTAGTTATGAATACAAATTAGTATGTAAAGAAACCTGATATAAGAGAAGTCCTCCTTAAAAAAAATGAAGTCAATTCTTTATCACTGCTGTGTTGCATTTCTGAAATTATCTCAGTTATTTATTGTATAACAAACCATAGTGGCTTAAGAGAACAATGGTTTATTGCCCATGATTATGAGGCTCAAGATTCAGGCAGATCTCTGCTTTGCTATGTGTCCATTGGGTGAATGCACATGATTGCATCCAACTGGGAGCTGGGCTGGGCTGGGCCAAGCTGGGTGGGAAAGTCCAAGATGGCCTTCCACATGTAGTATCTTGGTACTAGCTCTCCTCTCTAAGTGGTCTGTTTTCCTTGGAGCCTCTCTCCCCAGCCAGTTCACCTGAATTTCTTAACATGGAGACTGGGTTCTAATAGAGCAAGAATAGATACTGGAAGGTCACTGAAGACCAAGGCCTTGATACTTGCCCACTGTCAGTTCCTCCATATTCTATTAGTCAAAGCAGTCACAAGACTAGCCTGTAATCCAGGAAGGTTTTTCAAAAAGTCAGTTCCATCTCTTGATGGAAAGAGTAGTAACATTATATTGCAAAGAGGTGAGGACCTAGGAAGGAGTGACTCTTTGGAGTCCACATTTATAGATAAGTGATTTGCCACATACACCAAAACCAAAATCTAGTGACTCAAAGGTGAGCCAAGTCATGTAGGTCATGACAAGAATAGCCCATGCCATGTAGTAAAAATGTTGTTATGTAAGGAAAAGAGAGCATAAATGACTGGAATGTATTTCAGAATACACCAATGTACTTAGAATTTTTATGAATTATTGCAGTAATCCTAACTACTAGTGGCAGTAATGCTGTGCCTGACAATGACAAAACCAATTTGTCTATAGCATTCTTTACAATACATTCCACCTGTCACATCTTGAAACTCAGCTGAAGGTGTGCACTGGTTAGCTTTGCTTGCTGTTTTATGATTGAATAGGAGGGAGTTCAGTCATTCCTGCAGAAGCAGGGAGACAAGAGAATTAATTGGTCTAAGGCAGAGATACTGTGTACACAGTGATACTTAAAACTCTTAAGTGCTTATGTCAGATATCTGGGAAGTGTTGGGGATATTAGTATCAGAACACAGTCATTTACATTAAATGTCCCTTTAGACTCAAAGAATTCTTTGGTACAAGAAAATTATATGTAATGTTAATAAATGTGCAATATCTAAGACTACACAGAAGTTCTGGTGACCCAGATCCAAGTCAAGAAACTATCATTTAACATTACTCTTTCTAGGAAACGTTTCATACTATCAGTTATCAGTTCATTGCTACCAGTTAATTGGAAATTGTTTTCACAGAAGTGTTTTCCTTCTTTGATTGCAACCATGCCCGAAGTCATCGCTTTTATGCTGAAAGCATTCTCAATCCTGATGCATTTATTGCTTATCCTTGTAGATCCTACAAATCTTTTAAAGCAGTAAGTAAAGCATTTTGCCATGTAATTCAATTAGCAAGTCATTTTTTGAAGCATGATCAGCTAACTAAAAATTAGAACATTGAGTATGTAGCAAAAAAAAAATGCATCTGCCATTTTGGTAAATAATAGATTCTTTCTGTGCTGAGTACTGAACAGTAGCTGGGGTTGCTGAAGGGCTTAAATAACCAAACCAACTATTTGTATTCTGGTTGTTTCAGTTCTTTTGAATTATATCCAATTTTGCTTTTTTGGTCATTTGTTATGCAGTTATTAGATGTTGTGTACCAGGCATAAGTCCAGCGCAAAAATTTTTGTGTGTATATATTTAAATGTCATCCTCTAAGATGCCCTGAGATGGCTGAAGCAATTAGTAGCTACTATCAAACATATTACTGTTTACCTGGAACATGAAAATTATTTTATTAAAATTTGATTATTCATACAGAGCAGAACTGAAGCATAGATAGCTCATAGGAATTCCATGCAGATCAATATACATTACAAAATACCAAATCTGATTTTACTTGAGTCATGAAGCACGTGGTGCCAGATCTGAGCTGACCATATTTTTCATTTGCTTATCACTATGAAAAGGTAAAGAGAAAATCTGTTTTGTAGTGGAAAGTAGAAATATTTTCTTGCTTGTGCTTTAGAGACCTATCCCCTGTTTTATCAGGGTAGAAAAATGTGGGGTTTCAAACCAAAGTGTGTTATAAGCAATAGCATTTTGTGAATAAGAACAGTGTTGGGACAGGAATAAGTGTTTCCCTCCTGTTACAGATCAAGGTGAGTGAGCCCTCAGGCTGTCTTCTCAGTTCCTGGGCATGTCTTCTTTGTTCATATGTGGCTGGTGAACTGCTATTCTCAGAAACCTTGCGAGACAAGCACTGACATTTCCCCTAAACCTCCTTCTCCCCAAACTCATCCTTCTTCAAGCCCCAGATGCTGCTCTGAATGGCTAAAGGCATCCTGACATTCACTACATCAAAGGCAGGTGAAATCAGGTTCTCAGAGTCACAGTATATTCAGCGTTAGTGGGATTCAATCGGCTAAAATCTGGAGAACCATAGGCTCCTATGCCACATAGATGCTAATTATGGTAACAAACTAGAGAATGTTAAGTCAATTTCCTTGACTTGTTTTATTGTGCTTTTAGCCAACAGTCATAAAAAATGAGATGGAATTTTAAAAACTAAGTAAATAAAATAATAGGGGTTTTAGTTGCTAGGCCATCTGATTCACATTCTTGTGCCTTCACTTAATAGACAAACAAACTCAGACAAATTGCTTACTTCTCTGGGCTTTAGTTTCCTCATCTGCTAAATAAGGAGACTAAAAACATTATAATAATAATCGATTTTGTGAGGATTAATTGACCTAAATGCATATAAAGTGCATCAAACAGTGCCTTGCACATGGTAAACACTCAGTCAATATGAGCCCTCATTATTTTGTTAGTATTTTTTCTCATTAAAAATGGAATTTTAAATGGGGTGTTTTACTATAATCCTAGGCTTCCCCAGTGGCTCAGCACTAAAGAATCTGCCTGCAGTGCAGGAGAGGCAGATTTGATTCCTGGGTTGGGAAGATTCCCTGGAGGAGGAAATGGCAACCCACTCCAATATTCTTGGTTGGAGGATCCCATGGACAGAGGAGCCTGGAGAGCTGTGGTCCACTGCATCACAGAGTCGGACACGACTATAGAGACTGAGCATGCACGCGTGCACTGTAGCCCTAGCCTAAAGATCTGTAGTTTATAAGTCCGAAAGTTCAAAAACCTGAAATAGCAAATACTCCAACATTAAATTAGTATTTTTTTAGTTTTGCTTTAGATTTTAAAATACACAGATAAAATTTAAGTACCTTATATTCCCTTCATGCCCTTCCCCAAGGCAAACTTTGAGGGAAATTTATGTATATAATACATGGCAACCCACTCCAGTACTCTTGCCTGGAAAATCTCATGGACAGAGGAGCCTGGTAGGCTACAGTCCATGGGGTTGCAAAGAGTCAGACACGACTGAGTGACTTGACTTTATTTCATATATATATATATAGAGAGAGTATCTTACTATAAGTGTCTTTCTGAATTTGCTTTTAAATTAAAATTTATAAGATCTACATTGACATATATAGACCTATTGTATTTAGTAGGAATTCTGGAGGAATCAGCCACATTTTATTTATTCATTCCCCTACTAACGTGCATTTTGGTTGTTTGCAGTTTTCGTTATTAAAAGCAATTCTGCAATAAACACCTTTGCATATCTCCTTATGTACTAGTGTAAAAGTTGCTTTATAACATATAATAGTAGTGAAATTGTCAAAGCATATGTGCATTTCCATCTCTATTAGACATTACCAAATGTCTTTTGCAACGTCTGTTAATTTATATTCCCATAAGAAGCAAATGAGAATTCCCCACTCCATATCTTACCAATACTTGGTATTTCCAATTGCCTTAATTTTTGCAAATCTGCTGAGTATGAAATTGTATGTTGTTTTAATTTGCATTCCTGACAGCTAGTAAGATTGAGCATCTTTTTACATAGCTATTGACTATTGACTTTCCCCTTCTATGGACTGTCTGTCTATTCATGTTATTTACTCATTTTTCTGACAGCCAGCCCCTTTCCCTTATCCCTTAGTTGTTTTTGTTTTATTATGTTTTGTTTTTGAAAACAGGCCGGATGGTCTATTAGGCAACTTAGTCATTCTTAAATGCATATACTTTATTTAGACTCGATAGATTTATTATAGTTTAATAGTACATTCTGAGTTTATTGAAAGTCAGCATTTCTAATTACATTTCTAATTACCTCTTATTTTCTGTCACCAGGGAACTTGCTTCCATTGTCCCAAGGAAGGTTGCCCAACAATGGGTCATTTTGCTGATAGATTTCACCTAAAAAAAATGAAGCCTAATAGATTATATTATTTTTTAAACACAGGGACTCTTGCGCCATTTGCCCGTAAGTATCATAGCTGAATTTTATTGTAATGCCTTAAGGCACTTACCTTTAAATATTCAACAGTTTTTACTGAATGTCTACTAAATCACTGGGCACCGGGCCAGACTCTGAGGATGCAGTGAAGAACAACACAGTGAGTTTAGGCTGGGGGAAAGAAAAGGAAAATTCTCAGTTTCAACCCTGAGTAGTAAACTTTCTGTTGGGAGATGCAAAGAAGGAATTTCTGCACTCAGATCAGGGAGCCTTCCAAGGAAAGGTGCCTTTGACGCTGATTCCTGAAAGGTGAGTAGCAGAGGGAAGGAAATAGTGTTCCAAACAAAAGGAACTGCATATGAAAATGCCTGGAGATAAGGGAGAGCTGGAATCTAAAAAGGAACCCCCTGCTGAGATTGTAGAGACCAGGAGGAAGGTAATATGAGGCAGGTAAGATGAGAGAGGTAAATCGGGTCAAATAATGAAATTGTGCTCCATATGGGAAGTTTGGGTTTTGTCTTTGGGCAGGAAGAAGCAAAAAGGACCTGAGTGAGGGGTTTCCCTGGTGGTCCAGTGGCTAAGGCTCCATGCTCCCAATACAGGGAACGTGGCTTCAATTCCTGGTCAGGGAACTAGAGCCCGCATGCTGTAACTAAAGATGGAAGATCCTGAGTGCCATCACTAAGACCTGGCATAGCCAAATAAATAAAAACAAATAAAAAGAGTTTTAATTTAAAAAAAAAGGAACTGGGTGAATGGGTCTGTCAGTTCAGTCACTCAGTCGTGTCCGACTCTTTGCGAACCCATGGACCCACAGCACACCAGGCTTCCCTGTCCATCACCAACTCCTGGAGCTTACTCAAACTCATATGCATCAAGTCGGTGATGCCATCCAACCATCTTATCCTCTGTCATCCCCTTCTCCTCCTGCCTTCAATCTTTCCCAACATCAGAATCTTTTCTAATGAGTTGGTTCTTCACATCAGGTGGCCAAAGTATTGGAGTTTCAGCTTCAGCATCAGTCCTTCCAATGAATATTCAGGAAAGATTTCCTTTAGGATGGACTGGTTGCATCTCCTTGCATTCCAAGGGACTCTTAAGAGTCTTCTCCAACATCACACTTCAAAATCATCAATTCTTTGGTGCTCAGTTTTCTTTATAGTCCAACTCTCACATCCATACATGACCACTGGAAAAACCATACCTTTGACTAGACAGTCCATCTAGTTTTTCCAGTAGTCTTATATGGATGTGAGAGTCAGCCTTGTCTAGCTCAGTGAATGGGTTTGAGGGATGCAGAGAGTGGAGAAATCAAGGATGATTCTAACTGGGCGGATGACATACCATATGCTGAACTTGGTAACCAGGCAGAGAGGCTGGTCTGAAGTAAGTTGATGGGCTCAGTTTGTAACATATTAGGTCTGAGATATTGTTAGGATTTGGGCATGTGCGGTTAGAATGGGTCTCAGCCTCTGGAGATCACCGTGGTCCACAGTCAAAGATTCAAATGTTTAGACAGTAACCTAAGCTATGAAGTGGTTGATGTAATTACCCAAGAAGAATATATCAGATGAGAAGAAAGAGAGCAGAGAAAGTAGTCCCTGTGAAGGACACTGAGGAAAGAATAAAGAGAGAAAAGGTAAAACCATGTGGGAGTCAAGAAAAGAAAGATGATGAGGAAGGGAGAATGCATTCACCGTCCGCAAAGATAGGTCCAATGAGACAGGGCCCAAAGGAGTTCGTGGGATAAGTCCCATCACTGGTGAGTTTAACTTTCAGTGGAGAGGTGACGGTGGCAGCCATAGTGCAGTGGAATGGGTAAGGAGGGAAACGGAACTTTCTGATGATGATTAATTTGTGAACTGAAAATTCTCTCTAGTATTTTTTCCTCTTTCAGAGGTTTTCAAGCAACTTTATGAAGAATTGCATTTTTTTCTGTGTTATTAAGCATACAACAATTTTAGAATTCAGAATGAAAGATCTGTTTAGTTCTAGAGTTCTTTAAAAAGTTACATGGACTGTTTGCAAGGGATTTATCCTACTGGCAGGCTTTGTGTTGACTCAGACCTGTACTGACTGGGAACTCCTAGCACAAAGCCTGGCGGGAGAGGAAGGGACAATTCATTCTGCCTCTGAGTCATTTAAAAAACACAGACTTTCTTGCGCAATAGGTTTTCTAGATATTTTTATGGATTAATTGTCAAATTATAGCAAATTAGAATTTGGCTATGGAAAACAAGGAGTCCCTTAGACTATAAGGAGATCCATTCAGTCCGTCCTAAAGGAGATCAGTCCTGGGTGTTCACTGGAAGGACTGATGCTGAAGCTGAAACTCCAATACTTTGGCCACCTGATGCGAAGAGCTGACTCATTTGAAAAGACCCTGATGCTGGGAAAGATCGAGGGCAGGAGGAGAAGGGGATGACAGAGGATAAGATGGTTGGATGGCATCACTGACTCAATGGACATGAGTTTGGGTGGACTCTGGGAGTTGGTGATGGATAGGGAGGTGCTGTGGTTCATGGGGTCGCAAAGAGTTGAACACGACTGAGCGACTGAACTGAACTGAACTGATGGAAAGCATACACACCACAGAATACAAATGTAGTGGATGGAAGAAGACACACACATTATTCTGAAGTCCAAAAAATGTATGGAAAAGTAAATAATTTTCTTTAAAAAATATCATTAAACTATTTACTCTGCAAAATCAACGTGTGATAGTTTATATGTCTTTAAAAATATAATCTCACCAAATTCACTCAAGCTATATAAAGTTGTGTTATTATTTTCTCATGAACATGAACAGCCCTCTTCCACTTTAACCCGGAAAGTTATAGTTACATTAAAGTAGCCAGGAGATAGTGAAGGACAGCGAAGCCTACTGTGCTACAGTCCACGGAGTCTCAAAGGGTCGGACACGACTTAGCGACTGAACAATAACAAAGATGTCATGCTTTCCACGTGTTTTAAACCCTTCTTTCTCTCTCTCTCTCTCTTTCCTGTTTTCTCTGTTTCCAGGTTGGAGGCACAAACTGTCTGTCAAACTTGATGGCAACAGTGTCACTCAAGGAAGTATATTTCTCCGTGTAGGTGGAATGACTGGGAAGACCAGGGAGTTTGAGTTTGTCAGGTAGGCAAGGATGATAACTTGGCAGGTAACAATGCTGTCCTCAGTTCGTCATGCTCAGTAAGGCTCAGTCTTTTCTTTTCCTACAGTGCCACCAGCTATCATCTGATAGTAACTTTTCTTTTTTCCCAAATATAAAATAGAAATCATAGTATCTGTTTCATCCACAGTTCCAGCTACAAATAGAAAATGTTAGGAAGCGTTAAGATGAAAGTACAGATCAGAGAATAAAGCAAGTGGGAAAAAACCAGGAAACAAGATATGCTTTTAATTCAGTCTATTATTGTTATACAAATTTGGGCATATCGCTTTACTTTTAGGGCTTCCTTAATAGCTCGGTTGGTAAAGAATCTGCCTGCAATGCAGGAGACCCTGGTTTGATTCCTGGGTCAGGAAGATCCACTGGAGAAGGGATAGGCTACTCACTCTAGTATTCTTGGGCTTGCCTGGTGACTCAGCTGGTAAAGAATCCACCTGCAATGCAGGAGACCTGGGTTCAATCCCTCAGTTGGGAAGATACCCTGGAGAAGGGAAAGGCTACCTACTCCAGTATTCTGGCCTGCAGAATTCCATGGACTCTACGGTCTATGGGGTCGCAAAAACAATATATGCTTTTAATTCAGTCCATTATTGTTATACAAATTTGGGCATATCACTTTATTTTTATAGATTCCATATGAAATAAAGTATTTATATGAATGGCCAAATTTCTAATAAGCTCCCTAAGTAGTCTCACAGGTATAGGATATGTGGTAAGATAGTCAAAGGTAGGAATAATTCAGTAGAGACATTCACCCTGCACTCTCATAAAAGACTACAGTCTCCTTTTATCTTGCGTTTTCCTTAATTTTTTCTTTGATCAGCCTTAAAATTTTTGAATTACGTCTTCCACTTCCATCACTTAATTCTGCAACTCATTTCAGAATTAACATTGTACACACTAATTAGATGTTACCATTTTGTGAACTGATTAATTAATTAGATGTTTTGGCTCTGCGATTTACATCATCTTCAAATACAAGGCAGAGGCACAAAAAGCAGAGGCTTTGTGGTTGTCGGTTGAGGGATTTGTTGGATTAATCACTCTGACAGCCTTTGTGCTTGTTATCTTGCCTTGGTGCAGCAGCCTGTAAAGATGAGTTCAGTCAGTGATTGTCTGGATCCCGGTTCATACACAGGCTCCAACCCACGATTTCTAGCCGTGCCTCCCACCATTTGGCTTTGTTCATCTTTGGCTTAGCCACATTACCCTGATTACACTACCCAGCATTAAAATACATCTTACCCTTTCCTCCCTTCCTGACTTTTATCCATGCTATTCCATGTTCCAAATACCTTTCCCTGTCTTAGCAAGTCTCATGTCCACTTGTTCTTCACATCTGCATTAAGCTATTCCTCTGAGGACAGTTTAACACGATCTTGTGTCTGTGGCTCTAAGGCCCACAGTGCACTCGTTGCCTGAGGCTGTGGGATTTGTGTTCTGCACAAAGGCAGCTGACCTGGGTCAGGTGGGGAGAAGTGCGTGGTCCCCACCCCTTCTAAAATTTGTGAGAATGTTTTGTCATCTCTTTACTTCTTTTGCTAATGTCTAAAGAATCTATTTGTCATGTCTTTGCATAATTATCCAATCCTCTTTTTTAAGAATAATTAAGCATTTCAGGTCCACAGTAAATATTTCATCTTGAAATGAAGTCTGCTAAATGAATTTGTGTGCTGGTCTAGTCCCACTCTTCAGTCAAGCTTTGAGTCTGGCTTCACCATAGATTGCATGCTAATGCACTCAGTCATGTCTGACTCTTCCGGGAACCCATGGACTGTAGTCTGCCAGGCTCCTCTGTCCGTGGGATTTCCCAGGAAAACATACTGGAGTGGGTTGCCATTTCCTTCTCCAGGGGATCTTCCCAACCCAGGGATCGAACCCACATCTCCTGAATTGGCAGGCAGATTCTTTACCGCTGAGGCACCAGGGAACCCCTCACTGTACATTAAATTTTAGTTATTTGGGTTTCCAATGACACCATCATGACGAGCTGTACTGTGTGTATGCTGAGTGAAGGCAGTTCATGGAGCAACAGGGAAATGACCCCTTATAACCTGAAAAAAAGTTGTCCTCTGGTAATGAAATCAATTAATTCTACATGTAATGGAACAAGACAGGCCCTAGGAATGGCAGCATCCATTCATGCATTCTGCAAACATTTAAATGCTATTGTATACCAAGAATTGTTATAATTGCTGGGGAAACAGACACGGGTCCTGCTCTCATGGAACTTTTCCTCCAGTTAGAGGAGACAAGCAATACGTTAACAAAGTAAGGAACTAGCAGGACTAAAGATATCTCATCTAGAGTAATTTTGGCTTGCATAAAACATGTCTTATGTCTCAAGTCTCTTATGACTTATTCTCTCTAATCTATTTCCACACTCACCAAAATACCTTTCTTTATCATTAGTTTGGTTACCCAATTCTTTTTATACAGATGAAGAAGGTAGCAAGGGAAGGCTAGGTGTACATTTTGGTTAATGAAAAGGAAGCATTGCACCACTGTGAGCTGATAAACAGGCTTCTAGTTTTTCTTTAATTTTTGTGTGAATTTAGCCTATCATTGATAGTCCTATGATTTTTGGGGTGTCAATAAACTCTAATTTCTGATACCGTGAAGCCAAGACCGGAGCTTCACTGGAGAACTAGCCCCTAAAAATCAACTAGTCAGGCTTCTCATTTACCTCACTCTTTTCTTAAGCTTTAGAATTGTGCTGTTCTGAGATGCTGACCAAGGTGAACGGCAAGAATAAATCTCCTATAATCAAATGCAGGGAAATGAAACTTTCTCTTCCATGATACACACAGATGTTGTCTTCAACTTCAATATTATGAATACCCAGTGCAAGCTTATGAGTTTTATTTTTCTATTGACAGTGGAACACTGAAGCCAGGCATGACTTATACAGATTTAATTGATGCAGACATTAATGTTGGAAACATTACAAGCATTGAGTTCATTTGGAAGGAGTATTCATTTGAACATTCTCAGAGTAAGCTGGGAGCAGAAATGGTGATAGATATATCTGGAAAATATGGATATAAGTAAGTCTTACTTTTTCCTTTGCATTTTCAAACACAGTTTAAACTTTGTAAGTGACATTTAAAATCCATATATAATTTTAAATTTGCAAATAGGATAAAAATGTGTGCCCCTCAAAAGTTTGCAGTTAAAGAGAAGAAAAATTATTTAAGAAACCAATACTGTATTTGTGAAAGTGTTTATAAAATAATAACTACTCATTAAATTAGAAGACCTACCTACATTTTCTATGTCACCTACACTGGAATCATATTAATATTGTCTTTTTTCCCCCTTTAAAATTTTCAGGTCTGCTTTCTGTAGCCAAAACATCGTAGGACCTAATATTGCCCAGATCCTGAAACCATGCTAATCTCAGATATAATCTTGATGGATTTATTTAATGGGAGCAATGGGAAAATTAATCTCCTTCTAGCTGGCATCCAGACCAAACTTGGCCCTATAAATAAGATAGAAAGGTACAGTTGCCTTTTTTCTAAATAGGATGTTTTTCTTATTGAAAAGCTTTTATCTGAACCTTAAAACCAGACTGAGCCCTGGGATGAAGTACAGTACTGTGACCTATTGGAATCTGGTTTTCAGTGACCAAATCTGGTTTTCAGTGTTGCAATTTCTCTGAATTAAGAAGAGGTGCTCCAAGAATGGTGGTACAGACTTGTCAGTGAAAATGAGCCTCTGTCTGATTGAGTGTTTGAAGTACACTTAGAGCATTTCCAGGTGGAATAACCATTGTTCAAAACTGCTTGAAGAATATTTACTATGTTGTTAAATCTTGCTAAGACAAATTATGTCTAGAGCTCATGATGTATAGTAGATGGTAACCCCATGGGTTGGTACATCTATTGATTAATAATGAAAACTAATGAGACCACATTAGTATTTTCAAGGTGTTCCTTGGTCTTCAGAGTGAATGTGAGGTAGAAGAGATTTTGGAGCTTATCTGTGATGTTTGCATCAGTAAGTAATAGGTCCTGAGAATCTTCAGCATCTTCTTCTAGAAGCCGCCTATCACAGAATTACTTATCCCTCTGGGCCTTGAAGGTCCCATTACAAATTTGTATTTATTCTAAGGCAGCATTTCATTTCCAAAGCACTTGATGAATGCTTCGTGTTTATAATAACAATATTGTAATTTCTAAATGTGTTTTCTCTTTTATTTTGCTTCAATTTCATCTAATTCAGTTGTCCTCACCCAGTGAAAATAAAAGACGAGCGTTTTTATTTGTTCTGTTTTCTGTCACTGGGCTCCGTGTTTAGCACTAGACTATAAATATTACTGGAAAGAAATAATGACAGATACTCTGCAGGGTATTTCTTGATTCTCCCTGGTGCCTGGCTGCCAACTGAATCTTAAGAAGAGACCCATGGCTGTACATGAGATTGAGTGGTGGTGGAAAGCAGAGAACAGAGTGGGGTTACTTTCCCATTGAACAAGGAGGAGGTAGAAGGTTGTTTGGAGAGCAAGGCGTAGTGGATGGAGGAAAGGAGATGAGGATGTCTTTAGCATGGTCGGGCTGAGCGTCCTACCTCCCTGGTGCCGTATCAGCCAGAGGCCCACGCCAGCCCAGGAACAGGGTGGCCAGGAGCAGCCCCAGCAGGAGGGCCTGACCCCCACTCACTGTGTCACAGCCCCAGTACTCCTGAGCGCCCTGGCAGTAGAGTCAGCTGCGTGGCTCTCGGGGCCAGAAACCTCCTGTGCGAGCAGCTGCCCTCAGCCTGCACCACTGTCTGCTCAGCCTTTCTTCCTTTCAGGACAGTCTCCCCAGCTGGAAGGAAGAATTGTAAGCCAGGATGCTGCATTACACTCTGTGAGTCCTGGCTTGCTTCCTTGTTCGAGGGATCTCTGGGCTGGCTCTTTCTTAGCTTGAAAAGACAAATTGGAGTCAGTTAACTTCTGGGATCCCTACTTTAATTAACTATAGAATTTCTGTCCTATTGTTCTTATATCTGTCCCCTTTTTTGCTTTATAAGAATGTTGTGAGGATGAAAAATAGTGCAGGAGCCAGCCAGGCAGATCTGAGAGTTCAGGGTGACAACACTGAAGTACATTTAGAGCATTTCCAGGTGGAATAACCATTGTTCAAAACAATCTGAAGAATATTTACTATGTTGTTAAATCTTGCTAAGACACATTATGTCTATAGCTCATGATGTATAGTGCATGGTAACCCTGTGGGTTGGTACATCTATTGATTAATAATGAAAACTAATGAGAGCACATTAGTATTTTCAAGGTGTTCCTTGGTCTTCAGAGTGAGTAAGAGGTATAAGAGATTTTGGAGCTTTTCTCTGTATATTGCCACCTAGGAAAGCTCCTTCTAAAAAATTCTTGTTCTCTCTGAGTGCCCTGCATTACTATAGAAGGGTATTTGTGGTGAAGACTGTTAGGAAATTCTTCTGCTTCTTGAGCAAAATGCCCTTAGTACTAAAAAGTGACTTCCCATCCCATTAGCCATCACTTCCTTCACTGCCCATCGCCATCTATTTACACTCCAAACTTGTCATCACATCACCCACAAACACCGCCTCTAAACTTGCACGTGGGAGCATCTTGCTCTTGGACCATATCTGCTTCCTCTTTAGGCCAATGGAGTGAACTTCAGATCTTACATGTAATACCATCTCTCCCACCTACACATCAGTATGAATCTGTAAACAATAGATTTGTTGAACATAACCATAATATCTATCTTATAAAAATTGACTGTAATTTTAAAATGGATTTAAAATTAATTAAAAGAATTAGCAATAATTCCTTAGTATTATCTTACATTCCAGTTGTTTTTACTTTTCCCAGATTGTCTGAAAAAGGTCTTTGGGCCATTGACTGGTTTAAATTTATATCCAAACAAGATCCAAAAATTGTATATGATTAGTATGTCCCTGTCTCTAGCAATTTCCCCTCCCCCTTCTTCCACACCAGTTTTTTTTTTTTTTTTCACACCAGTTTTAAAATAAACCAAATTACTTGTCCTGTAAAATTTCTCACATTCAACTGATGGGATCCCCTTGATATCTTTTAGTGCATTCCTCTCTCCTGTGCATTTCCTATAAACTAGTTACTTAGGTCAGGATACTTGTTGGGATTCAGGTGGGCATTGACCCCTTCCATGATCGTCTGCAGGATAGACACTTTCTGTACCTTACTTAACAGCTTTCAAGTTAACTGGTGATCTTTCTTTTTTAAAAAAGTCTTTGTTGAATTTGTTATAGTATTGCTTCTGTTTTATGTTTTAGTTTTTTGGCTGCAAGGCATGTGGGATCTTAACTCCCCCACCAGAGATTAAACCCACACCACCTGCATTGAAAGGCGAAGTCTTACCACTGGACCGCCAGGGAAGTCCCTGCTGGTCATCTTTTATTCATTCAAAGGATTATGTCTGTACTAGCACTTCATAGATTTGAAAGGGCTATGCCAGTTAGAGTTGTAGGTAAAATAAAACAGTGAATGTCTTTGACTTTAGTTGCTAAATGGCAGGGTAAGAGGAGAAAGGTGACTTGAAGAAGGTTTACAAGGGTTTGTGCTCTGGGAGGACTGGAAGAAAGGGGCAAATTGCGTAAAGATCCAGTTACAGAAGAGGCATTGACCTCTGCACTATGCCTAGGGCTGGAGGAGGTGCATCATAAATGTTTCTGCAGAAGTTAAGGAAAATTCACATAGCTGCTTAAGTTGTGTGTCTGTTTCCCCGGGCTCCTCAGATCAAAGTGAATAATAGAAATCACCCTGTGTAAAAGAGCCCTCAAGTTTTGTTGACTCTGCAAGTCTTCAGAACAAGCAGAGCATTTCAGGAACAGAAGTATAATTTATGCCAAGTTACTGTTTGCCAGCCTTTTAAAATCTAAGCTCATGTTAGATAAACATAAAAATCTCATGTCCCTTCTGGGATTTTTATTCTTCTACTTGGGAAAATCAAATTTTTTTTCTTATGCCCTCTGGCTAAAAAGATTTGGTAAATCTTTGCTTTCTGCAGATTGTGTAATAAAAATAATAGGTGTGTTTTGTGTTATGTTGTGTGATTTTTTCCCCCAAATACATACTTATATTATAATACCAGATGGGCTTCTTGATTTTACATGTGATTCTCTAGAGTTCTGCTCTAAGTGATTTAAGTCTTATACTCAGGAGAGTGGAATGTTTCTACTAGATTTCACTCCAATATGAGGGAATGTCTGAATGCCTATATAGACTGGACCAAAGATCTTTGGTAAATGTTTTCTCACTTATACAGTCTATTTTTAAATTTTATTTTTATTTATTTTTGGCTATGCTGGGTCTTCATTGCTGCGTGTGGTCCTTTTTTAGTTGCAATAAGTGGGAGCTGTTCTCCAGTTGTGCTGAGCAGGCTTCTCATCGTGGTGGCCTCTCTTTATCGTGGAACATGGGTTCTAGGACTGTGGGCTTCAGGAGTTGTGGTGCACAGGCTTAGTTGCTCAGAGGCGTGTGGAATCTCCCCAGACCAGGGATCAAACCCTTGTCCCCTTGCACTGGCAGGCAGATTCCTAACTGCTGGACCACCAAGGGAATCCCAGTCTATTTTCAAAGTTTGAGTTTTGCAAACATTTCACCTTTACATAGTCATGTATCTTTCTTTTATTTTCATAGGCTTTTTAAAATTCATTCATTTAAAAAACATTTACTGAGTTACCTTTTATGTGCCAAGCATTGTGTCTAAGTCATGGGGTTATTTGAAATATACAAGAGAGCATTGCAGAGGACATAGGAAAATAAATCTTTGATCATAATACATCATGATAAGAACTGTACAGAAGCAGACACAGAGGTGACAGTGGCACAGAAAAAAGCAGCTTATTCAACTAATCTCACACCTTCACTCTTCACTCATTGATCTCCTATAAAAGCAATAATGATAAAGATAGAGCAGTAGGTTTTCATTTCTGAATTCTGTGGTTATCATATCTATTTTTACAAGTGATTCTATTTTGGAATTCAGTGTACTTTATTTTTCCAGTGTCTTTGGTCCTGGAGAAACAGAACTGATATTTCACTCAAACATTCACACATAAATCTATCCATCACAGATCCACTGACTGTCAGCTGTGGCCAGAAGAGCAATAATTTCTTTGAAGGTTCCAGGATGAGAGAGCAAGTGTCATGCACAGTAGATTTAGGATGATGCCAGCCAGAGCATGACTAGTCTGCTCATCTCAGGCTCCTCTAAGACACAGTCCAGTGGTCTTAGTGGAATCAACTGTGGAACAATGCCCATGAGACATGAACACAGATACAGTTATCAAACTTCAATCCATCATTTAGGTATAACCACAGCAAACCTAGGCTTCTCAGATGGTGCTAGTGGTAAAGAACCTGCTTGCCAATGCAGGAGACATAAG